CACCAAAGTGGCGTTTTGGGCATCAAAATCGGCGTTTTGGGCATTAAAAATGGGGTTTTGGGCATTAAAACGGGGTTTTGGGCACTGAAATGACTTCTTGGGTCACCAAAATGGGGTTTTGGGCATTAAAATTGGGGTTTTGCTCACCCCAATGACTTGTTGGGTCACCAAAATGCAGTTTTGGTCGCCAAAATGGGGTTTTGGGCATCGAAAATGGGGTTTTGGTCACTGAAATGGGGTTTTGGTCACCCCAATGACCTCCTGGGTCACCAAAATGGGGTTTTAGATACCAAAACGACCTCCAGGGCCATCAAAAACATCTCTGAGACCATCAAAACGTTCTGCTGAGCCACCAAAACGCTCTTCTGGGTCACCAAAAAACGGCTTTTTTTCACCTGAGTGACCGATCCAACCCCAATCCATGGATCCCATCCCAACCCCAATCCATGGATCCAATCCCAACCCAATCCATGGATCCCATCCCAACCCCAATCCATGGATCCCATCCCAACCCCGATCCATGGATCCAATCCCAACCCCAATCCATGGATCCAATCCCAACCCCAATCCATGGATCCAATCCCAACCCAAATCCATGGATCCCATCCCAACCCAATTAACGGATCGAACCCCAATTAACGGATCCAATCCCAACCCAAATCCACGGATCCCACCCAAATCCCGATCCCGTTCCTACCTTTTTCTGCTCCCGCCCCGAGTGCCCTTTCTTCTTCAATTTTGGCGCCATTTCTGCCAAAAAAAAAACCAAACAGGAAAAAAAGAGAAAAAAGAATTATTTTGGGAATGGCTCTGGAAAAACCCGAGCGGGAAGGGGGCGGGGATTCCCCAGGGGCGGGGCTGGGATTCCCCGGGGATTTCCGGGATTGGGAATCGGGGATTTTTTGTCGCCAAAAAAAAAACCCGAGGGAGAATTGTCGGGGAAGGATCCAAGAGCCAGGGAAATCCTGGGATGCAGCAGGACGGGGTTTCCCGGGAACGTCGCTGCTCCGGAGGCAGAACCTCGGCGCGATCCATCGCCGGTGCCGGGTCCCGGCGGGAACCGCGTTCCCGCGAGGAGATTCCGAGCATTTCCACCCAAATTCCACCGCCGGCTGTCGGTCCCGCTCGGAACGGCGTTCCCGCGGGGGTTTATCCCGGGTTTTGGGAGATGCCAAAAGTTCATCCCCGGTTTTGGGGTGTCCCAGGTGGGAGATCCAGAGGGATCGTCCCGGATCCCGGAGATCCCAACCCTCGTCGCCGGCGTCGGGTCCCGGTCGGAATCGCGGTCCCAGGAGATTCCAAGGGTTCCGGCGCCAAGGCCGTCCCGAGTTCCGCTGCCGGCTGTCGGCTCCCGACGTCCGCCTGGAGATTCCAAGGGTTCCAAGCCCAGGATGATCCCAAATTCCTCCTCCGGTGCTCGATGCCGGTCGGAATCGCGTTCCCAGAAGGATCATCCCGGATTCTGGAGATCCCCGGGACGATCCCGACCTTCGCTCCCAGCTCTTGGCTCCCGGGCGGAATCGCCAGGTCCAGAAGGAGATTCCAGGCGTTTCCCAGCCAAGGACGATCCCGGAATTCCAGCACCGGCTCCTGGATCCCAGTCGGAACGGCGTTCCCGGACGGATCATCCCAAATTCCGCACATCCCAAGCCCTGGATGAAGCTCCGGATCCAAGGGGATAAAATCCGGGATTCACGGAAAAGTCACTTCCAGGTGGTTTTTGAGGGAAAAAAGCTCCAATCCAGCGTGGCCGCGTGGCTTTCTGGGATTTTTCCCGAATTTTCCCCGAAATCCTGATTTTATTCCCACCCAAGGAGCAAAACGGATCCGAATTCCCACGTCCCGGGGTAAAATTCCATGGAAAAAAGTGGAATTTTGGAGTCCTTTCATGGCTTTTATTATTTCAAAGCATCCAAAGATCCCAAATCCACCCGCTGCCGCAAAATAAAACGGGATTTATCCCTAAAATCCCATTTTCCCCGTGTTTCTAATCCGTAAAATCCTATTTCCTCCGTCTTTATATCCACAAAATCCCATTTTCCCCATAAAATCGCATTTCCTCCACCTTTCCTCAGTAAAATCCCATTCTCTCCATCCTCATCCATAAAATCCCAGCTGCTCCATCCTTCTCCTCCATGAAATCCCATTTTTACAACAACATCCCATTTTCCTCCAGCTTTTAATCCACAAAGTCCCTTTTTTTTCTCCATAAAATCCCTTCCCATCTCCTTTTTCTCCACAAACTCCTCTTTCCTCCACAAAATTCACATTTTCTCCACCAAACCCCATCCCCTCACAACATTCCCGACGCTTCCATCGAGGCACAAATCCCGTTTTCCCGTGAAGCCCAACCCCGTCCAGCCGAATCCTCCCCCGGCGCTCGCTCCACGCAACAGAAGAACAGGGAAAGAATTCCAATCAAAACCAGGGGATGGGGTCAGGGAATGGCAGAGGCTCCCCCAAAGAAGAATGGACGGCGGAGGCAGGAATGAAATCGAGTTTATTTGTCCGGAGAAGGTCGGGAAAGGCGGGAAGCGCTAACCTGAGTCCGACTCGTCGCTGTCGGAGGAGCTCGACTCGCTGCTGGATTCCGACTCCGACGAGGAGAAGCCCTTGAGCTTGGAGGAGCCGGCCAGGACGTCGAGCTTCTCTGCCGGGAAAAGCGGGAGCGTCACCGCGGGGCGGCAACGGCAACGGACGCGACGGGGTCGGGCTCAACTCCACCCCAACGTCCCAACTGGGCCATCCTAAACTCAACTGGGACATCCCAAACCCAACTGGGACATCCCAAACCCAACTGGGTCATCCTTAACTAAACTGGGACATCCCAAACCCAACTGGGTCATCTTAAACCCAACTGCATCATCCTAAACTCACTGGGACATTCCAAACCCAACTGGGTCATCCCAAACCCAACTGGGCCATCTTAAACCCAACTGGGTCATCCCAAAGTCAACTGGGTCATCTTAAACTCATTGGTTCTAAACCAAACTGGGTCATCTTAAACCCAACTGGATCATCCCAAACCCAACTGGGTCTTCTTAAACTCATTGGATCTAATCATCCCAAACCCAACTGGGTCATCTTAAACCCAACTGGATCATCCCAAACGCAACTGGATCATCTTAAACCCAACTGGATCATCCCAAGCCCAACTGGGTCATCCCAACCGGTTTGTCGCAAACCCGCGTTTAATAATTCAAACCATTGAAAATTTAAATTAAAATCGTTAATTATTACGAATGAAAGGGGAACGGCAGCGGCCGCCATCTTGAATCTGCCACCATCTCGGCCAGGCAAGAAAAAAACCCCAAACCCCTCCAAAACCTCCCCAAAAACCCAACCCCGGGGAAACAACCGGGAAAATCCGGCCGAGAACCCCCAAATCCCCGGCCTGGGGAAGTACCTGGGGGTTTCCTCTTCTTGCGCAGGCAGGAAGTGACGTAACGCTCGAGCTCGCGCAGCGTCGACGGCTTCAGCGTCTCGAAGTCGATCTCGATCTCGTCGGGGTTGGAGTTCTTGAGCGACGGCTCCCGGGACTGGATGATGTGCACGACCCTGCCCAGCTTCTCCCCGGGCAGTTTGTTGATGTCCAGGCTCAGCTGCCGCTTCTCCTCGTACGACATCGGCTTGCACTTCTCCTCCTCCTCCGACTCGTAGGCGGGCGCGGCTTTGCTGGGCTTCACCGGCGCCGCCGGCTCCTTCTTGCTGCTCGCGGCACCAGGAAATGGTGTTTTAGACTTAAACCTGGCCTAAATCTCACCCTAAACCCAGCCCAAACCCAGCCCAAACCCACAGGAGCTGCAGAGTTTCACCACCGGCTCCTTCTCGCTGCTCACAGCACCAGGAAATGGCATTTTAGAGCTAAACCTGACCCTAAACCTGACCCCAGCCCACCCTAAACCTGACCCTAAACCTGACCCCAGCCCACTCTAAACCCGGCCTGAACCCACAGAGCTGGAGGAAGTTCAGTTTTTATCCTGAAAATGAGAGGTTTTGGTGGTTCTGCCTTTGGGGTGGAGCTCAGGATGGTCCAAACTGAGCTCAAACTGCTCCTGGACACCCCAAACTGAGCTCCAACTCCTCCTGGACACCCCAAACTGAGCTCAAACTCCTCCTGGACACCCCAAACTGAGCTCAAACTCCTCCTGGACACCCCAAACTCAGATTTAACTTCTCATGGACACCCCGAACTCAGCTCAAACTTCTGAGAACCCAAACCTGAGCTTGATCTGCTCTCGCACAGCCAAAGCTAATTAACGACCCGATTAATTAACACCAAGCGTTAATGAGCGAAGGGGACACGCCCAGGCTGCCCCAGGGAAAAGGGGAAGGGCCCACCTGGAGGCGCTGCTGTTGCTGTTGCTCTTCTTGGCCTTCTTGGGCGGCGGCTCCTTGGCTTTGCTCTTCTTGGCGTCCTCCAGCTCCTCCTTCTTTTTGTGCTTCTCCTTCTTCTTCTCCTTCTTGTCCTTCTCCTTCTTCTTTGGTTTGTTCTGCTGGGGCTGGGACAGCGCCGCCAGCTGCTCGTGCACGGCCTTGAGCTGCGGGAACGGCAACGCTGGCACCGGCAACGCCGACGGCTTCTCCGGCCTGGGCCACCAAACCCAACCATGGCTGACCCCACCTGGTCACTGTCACCTCCAGTGGTTCCATGGACACCTCTGGGGCCACCAAACCCAACCATGGCTGACCTCACCTGGTCACTGTCAGCTCTGGGGCCACCAAACTCAACCCTGGCTGACCCCACCTGGTCATTGTCACCTCCAGAGTCACCAAACTCAACCCACAACTGACCTCACCTGGTCACTGTCAGCTCTGGGGCCACCAAACCCAACCATGGCTGACCCCACCTGGTCATTAAGTTTTGGGTTCAATTTTGGGTCAACCAAGTCAATAATTTTTGGTTAAAACTCGACAATTTTAGGTCAACAAAGCAAACGGTTTCCAGTCAACCTGAGCACCTTGGGCCAACAAACCAAACAACTCCAGCTCAACAAACCCAACTCCAGCTCAACAAACCCAACTCCAGCTCAACAAACCCAACAACTCCAGCTCAACAAACCCAACAACTCCAGCTCAACAAACCCAACAACTCCAGCTCAACAAACCCAACTCCAGCTCAACAAACCCAACTCCAGCTCAACAAACCCAACAACTCCAGCTCAACAAACCCAACAACTCCAGCTCAACAAACCCAACAACTCCAGCTCAACAAACCCAACTCCAGCTCAACAAACCCAACAACTCCAGCTCAACAAACCCAACAACTCCAGCTCAACAAACCCAAAGATTCCAGCTCAACAAACCCAACTCCAGCTCAACAAACCCAACAACTCCAGCTCAACAAACCCAACAACTCCAGCTCAACAAACCCAACAACTCCAGCTCAACAAACCCAACAACTCCAGCTCAACAAACCCAAAGAATTTGGGTGGACAAACCCAGCTGCTTTCAATTAAATCCCAACGACTTGGGGTGGTCAAACTCAGCTGTTTCCAATTAAATCCAACAATTTTGGGTGACAAACCCAGCTGTTTCCAATTAAATCCCAACGACTTGGGGTGGAAAAACCCAGCTGTTTCCAATTAAATCCAACGATTTTGGGTGACAAACCCAGAGATTTTCAGTTAAATCCCAATGTCTAGGCTGACAAACCCAGCTGCTTCCAATTAAATCCAACGATTTTGGGTAAGAAACCCAACTATTCTGGATCAATAAATCAGTGATTTCAGGCTGACAAACCCAACCATTTCCAATTAAATCCCATGGATTTAATTCCAAGTTCAATCCCATGGATTCCACGGTGCCAAACCCAACCGTTCCCAGTTCAATCCCAACGATTTCAGCGTGACAAACCCAACCGTTCCCAGTTAAACCCCATGGATTCCACGGTGCCAAACCCAACCGTTCCCAGTTAAACCCCATGGATTCCACGGTGCCAAACCCAACCGTTCCCAGTTAAACCCCATGGATTCTGTCCCCTCCGGAGGTGACGCCTGTCCCGGGCCGTACCTGCTCCTGGAGCTCGGCCAGGCGCTGCGCCCGCTCCTCCTCGGAGTCGTCGGAGGAGCTGTCGCTGTCGGAGGAGCTGTCGCTGCTGCTGTCGCTGGACGAGGCCGGGGCCACCTTGGTGGGGGGCGGCACCACCACCGGGGACGAGGCGGGAATCGCCGGCTCCTCCGGCTCGTCCGGCATCTTGGCAAAGCGCATCTCGAACACGTCCTGCAACGACACGGCACGGCCCGGGAGTGACGGCGGCGCCGGCGCCGCGCCCGGGGACCCTACGGGGCTTGGGGGGGGGTTCTACACCAGGGGTCAGCGCGTGGACACGGGGGGTCCCGAAATCCTGGGGTTTCTTGGAATTCTGATCCTCTCCAAGGTGGATTTGCGAGAAGATTCCTGGGGTTTTTGGTTGGAAGATGCGGCTTTTGGGCTCTTGGGATCTTCTGCATCTTCTTGGATCGTCTTCAGGGGGTCTGATGATCTTGGAGGTGCCACCAGGGGTTCCCACTGGAGATCCCAACCATCCCCAAGGGGTTTTGGGGGGAAATTCAGAGGATTTGCTCCTTTAAAAGCTGCATTTTCCAGGTTTTTGAGTTCTTCTGGATCTTCCTGGATCGTCTTCCCTCGACCCCGTGATTCTCTGGGTCTTCTCCAGCCTGAATTCCACCACGGATTCACCGCCCTCTCTCCTCTCCAATCATTCCAAGCATTTTCACCCAATTTCCAAGGATTTTCCCTCCTTTCTGAAGGATCTCAACGCCTTTTGGAAGGATTTCCACTCCTCAAAAACACCATCAAAAATCCACCAAAAAATTTCCTGGATTCTCCTAAATTCACCCCAAAACTCAAATAATTCCCTGGTTGATTTTCCTTCAAATTTCCTGGATTTGCTGCTGCTTTTCCCAGGATTTTCTTTCCCAAGAATTTTTTTTTTTCCCAGCTCCGGCAGAGCCAGCGCCGATTTTTCCTGATTTTTCCATCTCCAAGATTCCAAGAATTTGTTCCCACGCTTGAAGGATCCTCCCCACCTGGATTTTCCCTCTTTCACGTGGATTTGAGATCAAATCGTTCAAAAAAAAAAATTCCAATTAATTTCTTCGGAAAACGAGGCCAAGGCCAAAAAAATCCAGGGAAAAAAATCAGGATTTCAGAGAATGAACACCTGGAATTCCGGATGCGGGGAGTGCCAGAGAAATAATTAAATCCAGGTTAGAAGAGGAAATTTATGAAAACTTGAGGGAAAAATGAAAGGAAAATCAAGAAGAAATTCCATAAAAATGGAAAAAATGGGAAATAAAACTAAAAAAGGAGGAAATTGGGAGAAAGCCGAGCTCGTTTCCTTCGCTGCCGCGACACAAACGCCCCTTTTTATATTTTGCTTTTTTTTCCTGAATCAACGTTTTCCCGGGGTCATCCCGAGACTTTTTAAATTTATATTTTTTTTTTGGGAGAATCCTGCTGGAAAAGCGTGGGAACTCCCCGGGAACGCCGGGAATCCTCACCTGCAGCTTGCGGGCCATGGCCACCACCTCGTGGTCGGCGGGGTTGTACTTGTAGCAGTTGGAGAACATCAACCGCACGTCGGCCGCGAATTCCTGAGCGTCCCGGTACTCCCGGCCCTCCAGCTTGGACTGCAACGGGGGAACGGCCAAATCGGGAATTCCGCCGGGAATTCCGCCGGGATTCGCCGCCGGGGACGGGGTTTCAGGGGTGTTGTGGCGCAAGGATTGGGGTTTAACCCCATTTCACCTCTCCAGCTTCCCTTCAAACCCCCTGATTTACCCCAAATCCCCTGATTTACCCCAAAATCTTGTTTTTTCCCCTCATCTCGTTCACCTTGATGCTGCTGAGGTCCCTTCAAACCCCCCAATTTCCCCCAAACCTCCTGATTCCCCCAAATCCCATTTCCCCGCCCACCTTGATGCTGCTGAGGTCCCTTCAAACCCCAAAAACCCCCAGATTTCCCCCCAA